TCTCTCTCTCTCTCTCTCAAAAATAAACATTAAGAAAAAAAAAGAAACTTTAATATTATTTTGATTAAAAACAGTTGGTTTTATAGTATGTTCTTTAATTTTTTAAAGAATTTTATTTCTGTGAATAACTGTTCTATATTTTATCATAAGGCATGGCTCTGGGAAGAAGACAAGAATCTGAGATCTGGTGTGAGGAAATACGGAGAGGGACACTGGTCTAAAATACTATTACATTATAAATTCAACAACCGAACAGGCGTCATGTTAAAAGACAGATGGAGGACTATGAAGAAGCTAAAACTAATTTGCTCAGACAGTGAAGACTGAATGTGTTTGTAAAAGCTTGGTAAAATCGCAGTTAAATAGTTTGATCACGGCATTTTGTTTGAAACCGGTGGTCATTGATGTGTCTTAAAATTCTTATCTAAAGCTTTACAGTATGATTACAGTGTCACTTTAATCTGAAGATTGATGCTATAAGAGTAAAATTCTATGCCATCATTGCATTCTTAAAGAATATTTTTCCTTTGAAAAAATGTAAATTTGTTGAACCCTGGTGCTTTCGATAATCTTATCCCCAAATCCTATCCCCCCGCCAAAAAAAAAAAAAAAAAAACCATGAAAACCTGGTAAGAGAAAAAATGTATTCCTGTTAACCTATTCTGCATCTGTAGACTGACTTCACCTTGGTAACACACATAAAAGTAAAGTTTCTCTAAGACTTGATTTATGGCCTTAATATATTAGTTACTAATATGCTTATTTATAGAATGTACAAAGCAATCCATGACTTGTAATATACTTAAATTTTCCTTACAGTAGTTTCATATAAGGGAGAAAACTTAAAAATAGTAATATCCATACAACAAAATTTGTACTATTACCAAGAATAGCTTCATGTCTCATTTAGGTACATTTAACTTTGTTTCAGTGTTAAAAAAATCTGCTTTATAATATGGTCCCATAAATACCAGTTTCTATGATATTTTCATTTAATACATCAGTATTGGGCCTAAGTAGTATTCTGTAAATGCTTAAATTGGTATTAACCATGATTATTTGATGTCTGTGTTAAATGCTAAATAAACAATGTCATAATACCTTAACAATTTTAAGTTCTCACCAACCTTTTATTCTTTAGAGGATTTAGTCATAAACCAAGAGCATTCTTTGACATTTGGAGTCACATGTGCTTTATTTAATGAGTGAAAATATTGAAGTATTGGTGTACAAAATTAAATGGGAGTATTTTGTAATCTGTATTTCATTTCTTATTAAAGTTGCATACATTACTTTCCCATTGTTCCTGAATTTATTTTCTTATACATCTAGTAAACGGAAATGTGGATAATTACTATATGCTTCTTGACTGTCCTTTACTAGTTACTGCCATTGCTTATTACAGACATTTTGATGGTTTGTGCCAAAGCTAGCGACAAGAGCCAAAATGGACCTGTAAGTAAACCTCATTCCAAACATACCATAAATCATCAAATTCTAAGTTTCCATTAACTGTGAGATGTTCAATTATTTCATGTGCCACTAAAAAAGATCAGTGTGTTTATGCTATACTATGGTGCTTTCTTGAGAATTTTATTTTACTTATTAAAAGAGGTATTTTAGTTTAAAGATAAATTTCTATCATATGACTTGTGGATATGTAAAAAGGAGAAGCAAAATAAGTTGAATAATGTATTTCTAAAACTTCATCTTAAATCTGAATTTTTTCTTTAAAATTTTTGAGATAATTGTAGATTCACATGAAGTTGTTAAGTGATACAGAGAGGTTGCTTGTACACTTGTTCCTCCAATTTTTTTCCCCACAATATTCATAAAACTACAGCGTCTCACCATCAGGATACTAAGACAATCCACCAGTGTACTGAACATTCCCCGGTTTTACTTGTACCGTATGGTGGGTGTGTATTTAGTTCTAAATAATTTATCACTTGTGTAGGTTCACATCTTCACCACCATAGGCAAGATCCTGAGCAGTTCCACCACCACAGGGCTGCTTCCCCTTGCCACTCCTCTCCCTGTCGGCATCATGCCTCCAGCCCCTGGCGGCCTCCATCTCTAAAGTCTCATCTTTGTAAGATGCCATGTAGTGACATTCACCGAAATGGTGGAGTAGGGAGCTCCGAAGACTTTTCCCTTTACTGAGGCAACCGTGAAGCTGGCAAATACTATGAGAATCTAATTTTTGAAACTCGAGAATATAATTAAGACAACTGGAGGAGTGCTTAATAAAGAGGCTACTACATCTTGCATGAGAAATTTTTGGTGTTCCTGCTTTCCGCACTTGGGACAGTGGCTGGTTTTCTTGGTGTGGCTTGATGGTGCCGGAGGGGCACCTCATTCTCACCACACTGTTGTGTTTTGACCTGTCTGGCATTTCTCTGAGAGTTTAATCCAGAAGTTTCCCTTTGTCTTACCCCTTTTGAACTCTCAAGGGGCTTTAAAAACATTGCCTACAGCTGCCTAGAGTCAGGAATGGCACACAGACTGAAAAATCTGGGGAGCAAGATACGTGGGGGTGGGGAGGTGTGCAGGAAAGGCGCTTTGAAGGACTCATGTAAACCAGAATCCAGAAGGCCGCCCACGTGCCCAGGACGGCACAGTCTCAGACCTGGCAGGACCCTAGGCCTCTACCTCTAATCTTTGAGCTTCACACATACAGGAGGTGGAAGATAAAGCAGAGTGGTAAGTGATCGGCTGAACGTTGAACGAGCCCCAATTCAGCCAATTTGCAAAGGCCAGGAGAATGTCTTGTTTCTCTTTTTGACTTGAGGCATTTCAGCAGATTAAATGAAACAACCAATTTTATGGTGTTTTTTCTTTCGATTCATGGATGTAGCTGTAGTTTGTTCATTTTTATACAGTAATATATGATTATATCACCTTTACTATGTTGAATCTTTGAGTTGTGGAGATAAAAACCACTCAGAAGTGAGGACAGGCTGTTTTCTTCAGGGCGTGTTATAGCGAGGGAGTCAGCCACGACTACTTGTGTTTTGCAGAGACACAGGCCGAAAGAAGTTTGTAAATGGGAAAGCTTTACGGTGAAAACACAAAGCTTCAGGCATGCTCTGTTTGGAAGCCATTGGCATGAGGAAACTGGAGCCTGGCCAACTAGCAGCAGGCATCTTATGTGATTGTTTTGGGGAACATATTTGGCTTACTCAGATTGGTCCTTAGTTTGGACAAAATATCAGGATGTTGGCAGTCATCGACCAAGTCCTGACCGTTCTGGGTGGATTGCTACAGACGTTTCATTTGGCAACCTAAACTGGTTGCTGCAGAGTTTGTGGGTCAGGGTTTGTTGTCATATAAGGTCTGTAAGGTCATATGAGGTACATTTTTATATTCAGTCTCAGAATTGCTTCAGTTTATTGCCACAAGGCTTTTCCAATTTACATGAAGTCTAATATTAGGAATAATATTGATTCCTAAATTAACTGAATAGTTAGGCATGATATTGTAACTCTTAGGAAACCATGTTAAAGAACCCAAATATATAGCCAACATAAAATGGAATATTAAAAACTATTCAAATAACCCAAAAGAAAATGAAAGGTGATGGGGGGGGGGGAGGGCAGGAAGCAAAAACAAAACCACAGGGGCAAACAAAAATATGGCACACTGGAATCCAACCATGTCAATAATTATATTAAATATCAATGGTCTAAGCCAGGGGTTGGCAAGTTTTCTCTCTAGAGGGCCAGATAAAATATTTTAGGCTTTGTGGGCCAAACAGTGTGTCAAGTCTTCTTGGAGTTAGCCATACACATAAATACTGAGTAGGTGTGGCTGTGTTCCAATAAAACTATATTTACAAAAACAACCGGCAGCGAGATTTAACTTGCAGGCTTTAGTTTGCTGACCTTTGCTTTTGAGTTCTAGATTTTATTTTCTTTAAAATATATTGGACTTTGTTCGGTGAGCAGTTACTTCTGAAGCTGGGAATGTCTTAATTCTCTTTTTTTTTTTTTCTTCCAGGTTTGGAAGTTTCCAAATTTAGAACCAGTTTTAAAGTAAGCTAACAAAATGGGGTTTCTAAAGACCAGCCTGATAAGGAGAATTTGGGGCACAAATCCACAGGACAGCGGACTGTGGTGACAGAATTAAGCCAAGGTAATGCTCCCACAGTTCCTTAGGGAGAGGGGGAGAGTTTTGGATTTACTTCTGGTTCAGTTTTCCTCCAAGAATACAGTCTTTTGGGTGTCCCTGTTTAATTCCCCACTTCAGTGTCGCGTTGGGCTTGCATTCTGCCTCCCTTGCTGAGGAAGGCGATAATGGAACTTCTGAGTGTAAAATGGTGCCCCTTTCCTCTGCCCAATGGCAGAGCACAGCCCGCTGGAGGTGAAGAAACTGGCAGAGGGTGCAGGTGGTGCTGCCCTGGCAAAGCAGCCCACCATTGCTGGGTGGTGTGGGGAGGCTGCAGCTGGAACTCTACCACAGAGCTAGCACGCTGGATAATAGGATCTCTGGAAGGAAGGGCGTGGGCTGCTGTCACTAGGAGTTATTCCAGCGCCCTCTGTTGATAAAGCTTAACTGTTAGGTCAAGAGATGTTGGCTCAGCCCGGCTCCAGAATCACAAAGGAGGGCAAAGGAAGAGGGAACTGCAGCCCAGAGCCAAAAACTTGTTTGTTTTTACTTACCCTTCCCCACCACATACCCCTTCATATGTCAAAATACCTCAACGTTTAAAGTAAGGCTTCATTGAAATCTAAAGAGCAAAATAGAGCAAAAATAGAAGACAAATTTGACATAAGAAATGTGATGCTTTGTAAAATCTACAAGTCTCAAAGGAAAAGAATAATACTTTCTCAGTGTTTTTGTTTTTTACAAGAGAATTATTTAAAGAATGTTTTCCTTTTCCACTTGAGTCCTTGAGGTGCTCACATCTGTCTTTGTCTTTATAAATTTGTGAGTGCTTTGCTTTGCATGGATTATAACTCTTACAAAACCCTGATGAGGTGCAACGGTTTTAATAAGTACAGGTCACCGATGAGGAATCGAGCTTCAGTTATTTTGACTTGCACTGGCAGAATTACATTGTGAGTGACAGAACTTGTGTTGCTGATGGCCCATAGGTAACACTTTTCTCTATCAAAAAAAAAGAAAAAAGACAGAATTCTCTCCCCTCTTTAGTCCATGGAAGTTGATGTCCCTCATAAAAAAAAGCCCAGCTCACTGTTCTCAATACCAGTGGAACTCAGCAGGAGCAGCAGCAAGCATAACACACAAGGATTGCTCAAAATGCGCCTGTAATTGAAGTGTATTTTTCATTGTCAAGTACTTTTTCATTATTTCAGAGATGCTTTTTTTTTTTTTTTAAGCATCTAATTCTAAGGCTTTCTACTACTACTAAGTGGTTAAAAACTACAGTAACAACTCTGCTGAGTTGTTAGCCAAGTGAATCCTGTGATGAGTCATTTTGCTTGTGCTTCCCGAGTACTTACCCTGGGCTGTTACTATTAA